TACTTAAGTACTAATTATAAAATTGTATTTCGTTTGCTTTACGTGTGCCAATGAGCCGAATGGTTGAGAGACAAAAAATTTTATAACGATCCGTTTTACTCATATTAAATGTTCTTGTTCATATTATTCCTGATCGATCGACCTGTTGCGATCGCGTTTGAGCTATATGATTTATTATTTACCACATGTTTGTATATACACGTATTAGTTTATTGTTATTTTGACATTTATATCTTCTTGATATTAACACCGATTATTTTTTATTATTACTATATTGTCTAATATTACTGAAACTAACCGAGCACTTCCTACACGATGGAGTTCCAGGGTGTTGTTACATAGTAGATTAAATGCATGTAGATAAGGTCATAATTACGCTTAGATCCCCACGGTGTTGTTCATTTGATTCAAATCCCTAACAATATATTTTTAATAAAAGTTAGGAGGAAAATTTGATGATTTTGACAAGCAGTTATTGGATCATAAAAAGTTTTACCCGGACGTTAAATTTTAGAGCGGCGTCATCTGTTAAAGCGTTCGTCCGTTTGATAATAGAGCACCAAGGCAGATGGAATAATTAAGTTTTCGAAGAGTCTCGCGCGCGCTTGTAAGTAACTTTGCGTACATGAAATTTGTAGACAGCTTTACTGCATTTCTCCCACGTTAATTGCTAAAAAGGGAGTTGAGGGAAAGGGGTTGTGCCATTCACTTGTTAAAAGGACTTAATTATTCCTGCTGAAATTGCAATTTCATCTAGATTCTAGATAATATCTTGATGTCGTCTCAAGTTTTAATTTATAATTATCTTAATTTAACTTTGCAAAAACGATCTAACAACACAAACTGTATTTCATTTTCATCAACTATTTATATTCTATTTCAATTTTTTTTTTATTTCACTCAAATAATTTCCATTTTAATTGGTTAAAAAAACAAAAAATAAACAAACCACCGGATGGATTTTCAATACTCTCCAGTTTAATTCGTTTTGACCATTAAAATAGCCTCGCTTAACCCAAATCGATTATTTCGTCGAAGCATTTCCATAAAAGCTTTCAACAAAATTTAAGAGGGATTATTAGAAACACGAAATGTTAATGGAAATTGTCGAATATCGACATCGGGTTCATTTATCATAGCGAAAATTCGAAAATCTGTTTGAAAGATGAACGTGTGAACCCTAAACACGTCGATTTCGACTTTCCCCTCAGTTAAACCAGCTTTGACGGCTTTACTACATTTCAAATTAACGTCATCATTTTATAAATGTTATTATTAAATTGCAATTATTAAAAGATAATAATTTATTGTATTTGCCAATTAAATAAAATGGAATATTAAATACAGTAAAACCTCGATATAACGGATTAATATGTAGAAGGGAGTGTCCGTTAAAGGCGGTAGAATTTAAGAGGATTACTACATCCTGGGAACAGGTACACAGCTCGAAGGCTCGTTCGTGACGTCAGAGCTGAATATCAATTAAAACTAGAAGTAACACTAGATCTGGAACTAGAAACATTCGGGTTTAGCCGTCTTAAGAGACTTTGGCTATTAAGATCTCCAGGTTCATCATGGTGAAAGTTAATTGAAAAACGACACAGGTCGATTCACAATGATTGTTTATGAAAAGATGTTAACATGAAAAACTGTCATGTGGAATAATCAAAGAAATATTTTTTAAAATTGTAGATTTTTTTAATTTTAAAGGTTTTATTTAAATAAGCTCTCTAACTTTTCAATTTTGATTCTTTACCATATCAGAAATACTAACAAATTCAGCTTGAGACATTTCCTTCACTATTATATAGCTTAACGGTTACTTTAGCCATTTTTATTAAAGTAACCCATTGACTAGGAGTATAGATTGTACCTTGTCGTTTTTTTTTGAATTCTCGATCACTGCATGCATGCTATCACCTTCGTTTAGGCTATGTCCTTTTTCTAAAAATCGGTGCGTTATCTTAATTTCAAAAACGTTGGCAGCATAAGCAAACATAGAAGAAAATATAGCAATTTCTGTTTTGCCCTCCAAAGTTATCAGAATAGAGAAACACTTTGTTGACTACCTTTTCTTTTTGTGTTTCCAGAAAGTGTAACAAACAGCTACTTATCTCATTTGGGCCTCGTTTTGCAATCTCTTCGTACAAAACATGATTATTACCCATATCATAAATTGTAGAGTTGTATGTGGCTTTTGTAATAAAAGGTACTAACTTCTGACTGAGGAGTTACCAATACCTTTTGAAGATCGAAGCAAACCGTTTGATCCTCACCTGCCAAGTTTTTGTCTTTATCTTTTAAAGACTTAGCTGTAATTTTATTATTCAAGTGCATATCGTATTTTTCTTGCATTTTGGATTTTGCATCTTTATCTGCTTTTTCATAAGCAGTGCAAAGTTGGCACTGATCTTTCTTGGGCTATTTTCGTGTTCAATTCCTAAATTTAGTTCTCTTTTAGTTTTTTTGTCTTTCCAATCATTTTCATTACGTATGCGTTTTCCACCTTGTTTTATTTTTATGTCATTCTTCACTTTTTCGTAGTTACCACATAATCAGGATCAACATCCGGTGAAACACCTCGCAATTAGAAGCACATTTTTTCTTCGTGGAATTGATTAATTTATCACATACTGTCCTTCCTGCAATATCACTCTCTATATTTACCGGTAAAGAACTTTCTCTTTGATTTTTATATCATAGCTTGAATGAGCATCTGAGCATCTGATCCTGTTTATAAATATTAATTGTACAGGGTGTCCAAATTTCGATGGGTTTGCAAAGTATCTCAGTTATTATGAAAGATAGAAAGTTGCGGCTTTCGCGAACCTGAGCTACTTTTTTGTGAAACTTACAATGGCGCAAACCAAATTTTCATAACCCTCTTCGTTTTTGATATACAGGGAGTGTTTGAAATTTACGATTTTCAGGCACCTCATGTATCTTTTCCATCCGGAAACTTAGTAAGAAAGTAAAAACTGGTTCTAATAGATTGTTTCATGTGGAATCCAATGGTGCAAGTAGCATTTTTCTAGTCATCACGGTTTTTGAGTTATAAACACAACTCAAATACTGAATATTCGACTTCTAAAACACTTAACTCTTTATAACTCAAAAACTGTGATGACTAGAAAAATTCTACGTGCACCATTGGATTCTACGTGAAAAAATCTATTAGAACCCGTTTTTACGTTTTCGGATAGCCGAGATATAGGAGGTGTCTGAAAATCGTAAATTTTGAAACACTCCCTGTATATCAAAAACGAAGAGAGCTATGAAAATTTTGTTTGCGCCATTGTAAGTTTGACAAAAAAGTAGCTCAGGTTCGCGAAAGCCGCAAATTTCTTTCATAATAACTGCGATACCCTGCAAACCCATCGAAATTTGGACACCCCGTACATAATGACAGCAGGAAACTGTAGTTTATTATGTACTTACCACAATTAGTGTAGGCTTCAACCCTTTGTTTTGCTAATTTTAGAATTATTTCTGTATTAAGAGACGTACGGCTGTCGACACTGTTAACCCCGGAAATATCTTAGGACTTGCTCGTAGCAGCATTAAAGTTCTAATGGGTGTCTTTACTGGGCACTGCCGATTAAACCCACACCTTAACTTGTTGGGCCTAGCCGACGTTGTTGAATGCCGACTATGTGCGGAGGACGAGGAGACGGTTAACCATGATTGATGCCACTGTCCTGCTGTTAATCGTATCAGATTCTCGATTTTTGGGTCGCAGCTTATCTCCCCAAATTATCTGAATGACTTTTCACCTAGCAAGGTACATATTAATGTTTGTTAAGAGCATTGGAGTGCACGGTGAAATTTGATAACGTTATCTATCGGGGTATAATAGATCCTTAGGGTCGCGGTACAAAGTTGATTGGTCCGCTAACCCGATATGTATTTTATGTACAGTGTGTTAATTAATTATCGTACCCGACGTCATCATTGCAAGTATGCAACCAATATCACTATATATGTGCTGCAATACGCAAATCGAGTATTATAAAATAAATACTGTGATATTGGTTGCATACTTGCAATGATGACGTCGGGTACATTAATTAATTAACACACTGTAAATGTAATGTAATGTAGCTCTACTTTTAGTTCTTAACTAACATTAACACTAGACTAACACTAGGCTCAGAACTAGAACTAACACTAGACTTAGAACGTAGTAGTTCTCTTAAGACGGCTAAACCCGAATGTTTCTAGTTCTAGGTTTAGTGTTAGTTCTAGTTTTAGTTCAATAAAAATCTAGCACTGAATAATAATTAAAACTAGAAGTTCCGTTTTTGATTTATACATTTATACATCGTATAAACAACTCGGGGAATGCCCCGAGTTTATCTATGAACATGGAATAGAGCGACTTGGGGAATAAGCCGAGTTGACCGCTAACATTTATAATTAAATATCTTTATATATTAAATAGATATTATATTTATATATTAATGGTATGACTTAAAAATAGTTTTGTTATATCACGGTTTTACTGTACAGAGGGGTTTTTAGAGAAAAATAAAAGGTTTTTAATATTTTAAAGGTTCGTGAATATTTTATGGGTTGTAAATATGTTTTAGATACGACTATGAAAATTTTAACTGATGTTTCTATTTGTTGATTCAAACTATTGGATTGCAGAAGTTTACGGCTTTACGGTTAATAATTTATGGTGGCATATATTTAAGGAAAATTTATGACTATGCATTTTATTATGAATTTTCTCGGAATAGGAAGGGCTCTTTTTTCCTGAAACGTTGTAAACACACACAATTACCATCACTGATAATTAACGTAGAACAATAGCTACAATTAAGGGTGAAAAGGTTGGAAAGAGCGTTACGTCACTCAAAATACTTAATTAAAACGGTACGGTTAGGTGTAAGCAACGGGGTTCAAATTAAACTGGTTGTATTCCTTGATTTTGTTTGTGTTTTAAATGAAGTTTTATCGAAATAAGTTATTTTAATTACTTTTTTCTATATTTTCAGGCAAAATTAGAAACAAAAGCTTTAAAAGCAAAAAGACCAGGATTCACGGACGACCGTTACAATGAAACATCGTACTACATCGAAAATGGTAAGTAGAACATCACCAACAACTTGTCTCGAAATAATCACGTTCTATCCCCCTGGATTTTCTCTCATAATCCTTCAGATTTACATTTGACGTACACTAATAGCTTTGGCTGGTATTCATTTCTCGTGCTTCCTGGTTATTTTACATAATAAGAAGAAAAAAATCCATATAAGCCTACCCCTGCTTTTTAATTTTTCTTCTTCTCCCATTTTTCTTGTCCCGTTTTTTCGCTTGCGTTGTTATTTTTTTGAAACATCCTGAAGTAGTAACCCGCTGTAATGTTGGATTGGATTACCTCCAATGCGCAACTGTTTATTACAGTCGTAAATGAAACCGCGGTAAACTGCAGAGGAATTTATTTTTAATTTGGACAGGCGATAAAAAACGGGGTCTACCGGCAAACGAATAAATCATCTCGTTAAGGAAAAAGGGATCGGGGGCGGAGATGATGAAATTGCAACCCCGGTTAGTTAATGACGTGCTTTACGGTTTTATTACATTTACATAAACTATGAGGTGAATACTTAATTTTTTTTATTTTATGGTATTTTATTATATTGCCATTTTTTATTTAAATCTGCTGGGTGTATAAAAATCCTATGCCGTTATAAAAGGTTGAAATAAATTATAATAGAGAAGGAAATATTAGTTCTCGGTTAGCCATTAATATCCGTTTGAAACCTTTTAAAAAATTTTAATATTATTAAAAATTAAGTAAAATTATAGCCGATTTCCTGTTGTACACTTCTTAGTTCATCTCTGTTGCGCTCTAATATTCAAGTTCATAAAGTTAATCTTAGGGCAGTCATTTATAGCTACACAAATAAGTTTATTAAATCCAAGATCATTTTACTCTCGTAAAGCACTACATCCTTGAGGCGACAAGGATAGGGATCTAGGGATCTCCAGAAATCACTTGGGGTTTAAGTGATTTAGTTGAAACGACGCATCAAGTGAAAATATTTCTTTAGAACAAGGATGTGTATCTACGTAAACAAAGATGATTACAGTTGAGTATTGTAGTATTTTTTTGCTAAAGTAAGATTGTTAAATATTAAAATAGCTGCATTAATGAATGATGATTCCTGTCTAAATAATCTTCGTTAATTTAATTTCTGAAAAATGTACCATAAAATAAATTACGCGAAGACAATTAGCTGAAAATAATCTTAAACTGTATGGTAAATTTATATCTGACGTTTATTGCATGCAATTTATGTATGTCTGTCATGTGAACTGAGTAAAATACTGCCGGATATTTTTTTACTAAATTGGTATTTTTATTTCAACACACGTGTTCAAGAATTGTTTTACAACGGAGTGATTTAGTAAAAATATCGTCATTGAGACATATGTGATGTCAAGAACTTCTTATAAACAATATTTTTGGGCAACCGGTTGAAAAATCAGTCCTCGAGAAATTTTTCCGCTTCTATTTCGCGGCTCAGTGCGCGAAATAAATCCATAACGCTCTCGTAAAAAATCATATACAGTGTTCAATACGTTAAATTTTGTTTCCTCTACAAAAATTGTATTCTTCCAATAGTCGATATTATCCTTTTCAATATTTTTTTTGGAAACATTAAGATTTTTTCACTTGTATAGAAAACTATTTTAATAACTTGGCGTAGGGTTTCGGGGTGTACACATTTTCCTCCATTATTTTTAAATTAGCTTCAAACTTAGGAATACTTAAACCGGGATTTTTGTTAATTTGTAATACTTTTTCCGCCTCACTTACAGTACTTGGTGCGCCAGTTACGTTACATTTATCTTTGAACCACTTTATTCTGCCATGTACGATTGATCGACTGATCTTCATAACTTTACAAATGTACCAAACGGATTTTCCTTATTCAGGATAGATAATAACTTACCGTCTTATTTGAATATTAGTTTCTGTCATTTCCAGAGCTCAAATTTCATTTTCTTTAGTTTTAAAATGTATGTAAGGTAACAGAAAATACTGCTAAATTATTGAAGGTAGTGCCTCCTAAGAATACTTTAAACACATTAAATATGATTCAACCATTTTGTATGGCTTTGCAATTGCCATACAAATTCGTGTGTTTACATCTAATTATTGTTAGAAACAATGGACTGAAGATTCCTAATTTATAATTACCGGAATTGTTGCGATTATTTGTCTCCAAACTGAACACAAAGATGTCTTCAACTTAATAATTTATTTGGAACTCAAACAGATTTCCCAAATTTACATCTTTAAATCAACAAATCAAATTAAATTCTAGAAATCTATAACACAAAGTTTTTCTTCCAAGCACCACACTGACCTTTCTACAACAGTGTTGCATTAAAACGCGTATTTAAATCGCAAAAATCTTGTCCAGAGAAATGAATAATGAATAAAAGCAGCAACTCATGTAAAATTGAGTGTGGCCCATATTTGAACAAAATATTGATATCTCATGTTTTACAAAATACCGCCGATTCATCAATTTAATAATACTGCTTAATTATAACGGGGGAAGAAATGTGTCAAAAAAATTGTATCAAAAATGGTTCTCACTAGCTTTGTATAAATCAGGCGGCATGTCTGATTCTGATCAAGTGTTACTCTTAATCCGAGAAATATATAAAAGTTCGTATGCGCTGAATCATTGTCAAAATCACGAGTTTCTAAATAAAAATGAAGGAAACGACTCACTGCCTTACACTGGCTTAACTAACAATGGAAAAGTTCTTATTAGATTTATTGAGTTCCAAAAGATAATCCAATTAGTGACCTCAAAAGCAGAAATAAACCCGTCAATTATCATGTAATGGTAATCTGTTATCATCAACACTATTAAATTAGAACACCATTAAACATGGTCCTTTAGAATTTTTTCTCTTACTCCTTATATTTGAAGCATGAAGGATTGTTGCTGGTAATATTAGCATGCCTTGATGTTATTTCCCACTATTACAGATCAAAATCGCCTTTCCTCTCTATCTGTCAGCGTGAAAATATAGTAAAACCTGCTTTCTCAGATTCGAAACTTTATATCATGAAGAATCCTGAACTATAATTCCGTAATCAACATAGCTCAAAGCAGTTATTGTATGTCCTCGATCAGACTGAAATTTCTGCACTAGAAAGATTCCTTCTTTCTCGTATTCTCAGTATAATAAGAAAAAGCATTATTTATCTGATATGGATATAAACCAATGATAACTATTATTTTTATATGAAAAAGTTGTGAAAGAATAAATTGTCGCGCTACCTGTTCTAAGGACACATCAACGTTATTTCATTATGTTGGCAACACCAACTTGTGCTCTATCATAGAGAACTGGTCTAAATTGCATTGTTAAATTTATTTAACAATGCAATTTAGACAGGAATTGAATGTGCTAATAATCTTGTTCTAATATTACATTGTTTACCAAGAACATGTCCGATATTACACCGTACTTTCGAAACAACCCTGATGATTTAGTTTCTGCAGTAATCTATGTTAAGTAATATGTATACATTATATGTTGATCTGTTTCGAAACATTATATTTCATTATGGTCACGTCCAAGCATGGGTTTTATAAAGGGATGTTTTTCTGTTCACTCCATAATTACTTTAGTCCTGTGAAATTCTTTAACTTGTTGAGGAGACAGTATCTGCCATCAAAAATGCAACAAGCTTTGTTGCCAGAATATCAAATAATTTCTTTGGTATAGAACTCGTTATTAACAACAAAGTGAGGCGTCAAGTTTGCAACTAGATCTTTTCCAGCATTGCTTATATAATATGCAATGGCTCGTACACTAACATTGCATCCTAAGGGTTTATATATTCGTATAAATGTGCCGAGTTTTTCAAATTTTGCTTCATTGTAGACAAACCAAGCCTTAAATGTGTTTCTACCAAAAACGTTTCTATTCGAATCGTAACCAAAGAAACATATTTTCTTTATTTTAATATTGTGTTAAGCTTTTCATCAGCAAATCAAGACAAATACATATGTTATATATGTAGTAAATAATAATGAGTGCTTTGAAATATCATTTTATATCTCTTTAAATATTGAAACGATTGATTCCACACATCTATTAGATAATTGATTTGCAAAAATAAGTATAATTCCAAAGCATTCAAAAATGTTCATGCGATTTTTTCACTGTTTTTTATCTATGTCATAAAATGAAATATGAAATTACACGCATAAACAACAATAAGTCATAAGCATATAATGCCACTGCTACAAGTAAATTTGGCCTCCAGTCGAAAGAATTATCACGACCACATATTCTACTATTTATATCACTAAGCATTCGCAACAACATAAATCACAATAATTGTTGTAAATGATGTGGAGAACTGTGGGGGCCGGGTTGGCGGTACTCGTTGGCTAAATCTAAACCGCGAAGCATATGTCTGGGATTTTTGATTTATATGTTAATTGAATAATGGATTATTTAGGATGTAGATTATTTTTCATTGGAATCCCATCATTAATTAAAATGAAATAACAAAATGGAGAAGAAAAGCTAATGAAGCGGTGGTTAATAATGCATTGAAGAAATTATAACAATTACCACTTTTAACATTATGACAGAAAAATCCTAATAAGTATTGGTTATCTAATCAGATACCTAACAATATGTTCTTTAACAGATAAACACAATATTGAATACTTTGCACGAATTTATCGGAATTTTTTGTTCCTTCAACAAGGTAACCAAAAGAAAACAGTCAGAAGAGTGTTAACTGTTATTTTATCTCAAAGAAATAGAACCAAAGAAGTCAATAAGAATAGCAATGTTATATTATATTGTAAATGTTAATGTATTATGAATATTGAAGGTTTCTATCAATATGATTTAGTTGATACTCTACTTATATCGAATGTGAAATTAATCTTTTATTTAAATACTATCATAATATAGTCACTAGAAATTAAACTCGTTAACCTATTGATGTTCATTTTTGAGAAAACTTTCTTAGGATATGTATGAAGTACGAATGCGTTTCAAAAGCGCGAGTACTTAAGTTATGATGT